CCAGCTACAGAGTTGACGTGAGAATTTTGTACTTTGTGATTACCTTATCATTTTTGGTTTTGTAAAAGTTGATAAAGTGGCTCAGAAGGTAAAGGCACTTGCCATTAAGCCAGAGTCTGGTACCCAGAATCTACACAGTAGAAAAAGAGAAACAACTCTTGAAAGTTGTCCTCTGATATGTGCACCATAGCATAAAACACACACACACACACACACACACACACACACACACACACACACCAAATAATAAGTAAATGTAATAAAAAATAACAAATGTCTGCCTCAAGTATCTAAACTTAGATACCAAGTATGTGTCAACTATTACTAAGAATCTAAGTGTTCACAGGCCTCTACTTTACCGTTAACTCCTAGAGAAATCCCACAGATGGTGTTTTCTAAAGCTCCAAGAAATTTACACTCTTGACATATATGACAGCAAGAATGTTCAGGACACCAAAAATGTCCCAAGTTCAGTCAAGGAAGACCCCTGATCTTGAAGGAATCTCGTAGAAGTGGCTTTTGGCCCTACACCTGTCAAGGCTGTGGCAGCTGCTGATCAGATCCTCTTCCTGTAATAAAATGGAAGAAGAGGAATAGTTTCAAAGGAAAGCAGTGAAGAGCAACAGTTGTCTGTTCCTCTAGGATGTTCTAGAAGGCCACTGGTTGATCCTGCTTTCCTGAGAATAGAGTGTTAGGTAGGCCTATTTTGCCACAATCACTTGTTGTTTAGGAGATCATCTGGCATAAAAGGTACCAGAATGAAGGTAGAAGGAAATTGGATTTTATCCAACTTCTGCCATTTCTTAGGAAAATGATCTGTATATAGTCCTCCAGTGAGTAAATGCCTGGAATAGCAATACTGATTATTTGTTAATTAGTTCATTGATTTTGTAGTGATTGGGATGGTATCCAGGGCCTCAAGCTAGCCACATGATTTACCTCTGAGGTTCATCCCAAGCCCATCTCATGCCTATATTAACTGCAATGATTCAACCACCTGCTAGAAAAATGGATGTTGAAATGGTGTTGGGTAAGTGGTGTTGAGATAAGAGAATTCCAGGCCGGCTGTGAATCATGGCAAATCTCTGCTTTATTATACATAGGCTATTTTGAATATGTGAGTAGGAAAGATAAAGTTATTCTCCCACCCTGATCCAGTCCTGTGCCTCTTCTGGAACCCAGTTGGCTCACTGTCATCTCCTCCTGAAAGGGCCCAGAGCACAGGCATGAAAGAGACATGTAGGAGCTGGGTGGTCTGGCTTTCTTCTCTGCTGAGTTCAGTTTGTTCTTGCCCTGCCTCAGAACCCTGCGGTGCACATGACTAGAAGATCCCACGCCCACCCCTGCAGGCAGCTGATACATGCTGCAGGTTACCTGTGACCCCCCCCCCCCCACTGACTCTTCAGACGTGCCTGCTTGTCAGAATGAGTGTCTGCCATCTGCAGAGTAATGCTACTCTAAAAAACGACGTAGAGAGGGCTGGCAAAATGACTCAGCTGGTGAAAGCATTTACCTACCCCACCAGCCTCACCACCTGAGTTTGATCCTTTGAACTCACAGTGGAAGGGGAGAACTGGCTCCTAAGGGTCATCCTCTAACTTCTACGTGTGTGCTGTGGTGCCCGTATACACACACGCACACACACACACACACACACACACACACACACACACAAATAAATAAATAAAACAACCACCTTGGGTAATCTCTCCCTTTCAGCTCTTTTGGGGGACAAGTTGCTTTCTTTATACACCTATGGGCATGCCTCCAATGTGTTGGCTGTTAAGACCTTCAAGCAACAGCTTAGTATGTTTTTAAGACTGAGGGAGCCAATGACGACTCTTGAGGAGTCCTGTTTATGTTGGACTGGCCTGCCCAAGCCATGTGCCAGAAATTTTGCATACAGCAGGAATTAGAGGCAAAAACAGGAAGGGCTTTGGACATAGCTGAGGACTAACAGGGAGTGCAGGATAGCCAGGAAGCATGTAATATGGAGACATGTGGAGAGAGATGCCTACTTGAACCTGGACATAAACTTGGACATCCCATCTCATATTGCTCCGTGGGTGTCTCACTGGAATCCGGAACTTGTCATGTAGGCTAGACTGGGTGACCAGAAAGTCCCAGGGATCTGTCTGTCTCTACCTTTCCAGTTCTGAGATTACACATATATGCCATGACTCTGTATATGGACACTAAAGGTTAAACTCAGGTCCTTATGATTATGTGGCAAACACTTTACCAAATTAAGTATCTTCCAAGTTCCACTAATGGGTGATTTCCACTGGGTGCTTGGATGCTGAGCCTTTAATATACATCACCTCACTAATTATCATAGTCACTATGAGAAGTCAATGCCGTTATTACCTCTAGGACACTAACGCAAAAATTAATTACCTTGCTCTAGTGCACAGCTAGTAGGTGGTGGAGGTGAGATTTGAACTCACATCTGATACCAAAGCCTGTGGCAGTAAGCAGCATTCTTAATAAGTACCAGGAGAACAAATTTATCCTAGTGATTGGTTCCACCTAGAGACAGACATTTGGACTTCTAGGCTCTTCTTTTTGCCAAGGAATGTTGGCAGTTTCAGCATGCCCAAGGACCTGTCTGTCCTGGGGGAATATCTTCTTTCCCAAGAGAAAAGCAAATGATGACTCAAGAGCCAGTGGCTTAGGACTGCTCCCCAGCTTCTGCATCTCACAGCTAGAGAGGCCGACAGCCTGTCTGGGCTCAGTCTCATGATCTCCAAGGCTGCTCCAGTTTGGGATTTTATATTTTGTCTTGAAAACCTTTTTTATGACTTCCCAGCTGCTGGGGATTCCCACCCCTCCCAATCCTTGGGGGACAGGGCAATGGGGACACTGCAATCCATGTTAAGCCCTTCCACGTTTTGTAAATAAGTCCTTTTCAACTCTGAGTCTGAAATTGGTTCACAATGTCTAAGTGTGATTATGCTTCCCAAAGCCAAGTGTTATACCCCCACATTGCAGCGTTTAAAGTAAATATGCAATAAACTCTTTTCAGCATGCTGTTGATAGCACACAGTATTTAGTCACTGCTGCCTTGCTCAGCAAGGCCTCTTACCCCAGGTTCCCTTCCCTCTACTCTTGAGGTTGAAGACATTGGCCAATCCAACCCCTGGTGATCTTCCCCAATGGTTGAAATTCCAAGAGGTAAAAAATACCAGCCCTTTCATCTCTGCCCACTTCATTCTTTCTCTAAGCCTGTAATTGGATCTAAATGGAAAATAAAACCTTTGCAGGCCAAGGAAGTTGGCACTAGACAGTGACACGAAGAGGAACATGTTCCATCTCTAATCCAGAGAATCACACTCTCCTATGCAAAGGACAATAAAAGCAAGGCTTTCTTCAATCATAGCCTGGGCTTTTGATGAAGGGAGGGGGGTGTCTTTATAGACTTTATCTCACATTCTACAATGTCAACCAGCCGATAGCAACCCACTCCCAAATCATTCGACCTCTGTGAGGACAACAAAATTCTGTCACCACTCCCTGAGTTCTGGTACTTTGACCAAATTTGGGGCAGCAATCCAAACATACCATACTACAGTGCTACAAGTAGAAAGATGATCCCACACGTACCCTAAGCAACCACTGTGGGATATTCTGCACTTCAGTTGTTATTTTTTTTTGAGTCTCACTGTAGGCAATGTAGATGCTGGATTGGAACAGAGGTGAGAAAGAGTGAGGTCTATCCTCAAACCTTGAGAAAATATAACACAGCGCAGTAATAGGGGAGCCTGGATACAGCTAGAAATCAGCAGGCATCTCCCTCACTCAGGTCTCAGTGCTCTGTGAATTCAGGAGGAGAGATGACACTTGATTCTGCAAATAGTCCGGTGAATGCATCAGGGAGATGCTTGGGTTGAGTCTGATTTAATGCCATGTGTGGAAGCAGTCTCTAAGCTCAGGAGTGGGAGGGCAGGAGGTCTGGGGATTCCTCTCTCCCTCTCTTCTTCCTGTCCTCTACTCATGTCCTCTTTCTTTCTTTTGCCTCTGTACTTCCTACAAAAATGTCAGCAAAGGACAACTTTGTCCTGCAAGATGAAATACTCTGAAAGCAGTGCTCAATAATTACTGCTTTGGAGATTAAGCTACACTATCAACATTGCTATTAACACTGTTGGTGTGTCTCTCCTCCCTGTAGTATAAATAGGAAAAAATGACACTTTGTCACTATTATACAGCTAAAATGTGCCAGACCCAGGGCCAGGGTTTGAACACCTCTGCCCCCTGGGGATACCTTTCTGTGACCCTGTACCTCCTATTTTTCCATGTGGGAAGCATAGGTTTGTCACTGCAGCCTTCCTGTCCCCCATGTCTCATAGTCCAGCCCACAGCCTTCAGAGTGCCTCAGGTAAGCAGACAACCAGTTTGGAGCTGTAGGCACAGCTGCTGGCCCCTCCTGCAGCAATTTACCCGTGACCTTCTGGGCTCCTGGCCAGTCCTTCTTGAAAGGGAAACGTGCAGACCCTGGGGACAGAAATTAGTTTCCCTGTGCTAGAATGGCTACCACTGCCAACAGTACCAAAAGAAACTGTTCTGTGTGCTGAGGAAACCACACAGCTCTGGGCGGGTAGCAAAGGGGAGGGTTTGTATCACAGACTCTCAACCTTCACTGAAGTCGAATGAGGGAGGCAGAGAAGGGGAGGGGAAGGGGAGGGGAAATCCAGGGAATTTCCTGATCACAAACAAGTGCCTATCCCTTCCTCCTAAATTCACCTTTAATTCAGTTTAATTCACCTTTAACGGCATCAATAAAGCCCTAAGACTCAGTGTAAATACTTTTCTTAACAATGACTTAAAGAGTGGATTTGAGGGATGCGCCTATCAACTCAAGTAAATATTACCACCTAGTTCTGTTTTCTTTGCATCCTGTGGGTTTGATGCATCCCTTAGGGAGTCTCTAGGTACTCTAGGTGCTTTTGGAAGTTAAGAGGAACTGGAGTATACATCAATACAGAGAGATTTCCGCTCACCTTCTGGACTCTGGGGTTGAGATCCTTGGCCACCTTCGCCATCCTGGGGATGCAGAAGCAGCTCCTGGCTTCTCAGGCAGGGGTGCGAGGGTGTGCAGAAGGCACAGTGCGGATGATGGGCCAAGTTCAGGTTTGCGCGCTCTGCCAGCAGCTCTGGGCTCAGCACAGAGCCGCCGTCCGCTTTAATTGGAGAGCGGGACTCCCTCTAAAACGTCGCCAGCCAATGCGCGTGGGCACTCATTCGGGGCCAGCCAATCAGAGCAAAAGGCTGCTACCCTCCCTCAGGATGGCCTGTGCTGGGAGGCTGAGAAGGCGGCTAAGCTCTACCCTGACGTCAGTGCAGCCGGCTGCCACCTAGGGCTCACATCTGTCCCCTAGGCGGCAGGAATCCCTCCCCACACCCTTCGCCTTTAAAGGGCAAGGAGCAGAGGGAGGGGCGGACAAGACCCAGGCAGATCCATTCAGGTCAAAAGAGAGAGAGCAAATAGGAGAGCCAAGGTATTTTTAGAGAGCTGGCTCCAAAAATAAATGCTGAGCAGTGCTCTCTGCCCACCCTCTTCCCCCTTGCCCCAAGGGTGTGCGAGGCAGGTGGTCTGCGGAAGCCTGGACCTACCCTAACTTGGGAGACAGACTCTAGTAAATTAAAATTTCTTAAAAAACTATAATAACAAAAAGTTTAATATAACTTTTTATAACTTGTTCTTCCCTTCTCAGAGGAAGTGAATAAAATCTTTATGTTTTTAAGTGTGTGTGTGTGTGTGTGTGTGTGTGTGTGTGTGTGTGTGTGTGTGTGACAGCACTTGAGTGGAGGCTGGAGAATGAGTTGTGGAAATCAGTTCTCTCTTTCTGTCATGTGAGATCCCAGTATCGAACTCAAATTGTCAGACTTGGCAGCAAACACCGTTACTCAGGGATCATGTAATATTATTGTGACTCCAACAAGGAAAATGAGGAGAGATCAAAGCTGCGATCCTCAACAAGACCTGATTTAACTTGGAGGTGACTAAAGAGCCAGCCCCAGGGGAAGGGGCTCGAGACTGTAAAAGATACACTATGAAAATTAGCAATTTTTATACAAATTGAGTCTTGCAGGTCTGGGTGAGCAAGAGTCTCTCTGATTTTTCTCATCCTTCAAATGATATGTCCATGTAACTAACATCTGGCAATGATCTCCGTAATTTGGTCAGGCTTGCTTAGCTATGCCAGGATGTTTGCTCCGGAGACCACCTTGCTCTCTGAGGAAACCCCTCTGACTTGGATTCCCCTGCCTCTAAGAGAATACAGCATAAGCACCTTTTTATTCAAGACAGTCCTGCTTCATCTGTCACGAGGTGGGGTGGTCTTTCTACAACCCACATTGGCAAGATCTCCCACCAGAAACCAGAGCTCTGGTGTGCTAAGAGAAAAAGATTGGTTGTAGGAGGCCCAATACTGACTTTAAAGTATATGCTTTAGTGTTGACTCATTGGGGATTGGGACTGTTGGTCACATCCTGAAACTTCTTTATCAGATGCTTTCTGTTGCTGAGATTTAATTCTTCATCTTCTTCAGGAGACTCAGCCCCTTCTGACTCAAGCTGTGAGTCTCCCCTCACATTCCTGGAGAAGACTATCCATTGGTGATTTTTGCCTTTGTTCCTCCTAAGATTATGGAGAACCTATTTCTTTCTTACAGGTTTCTGCTATAACTAGTTTTGTTTGCTCCTACCTCTAACTACAACTATCAAGCATGTAAGGGAAGTTCAGGGCACATTAGCTGGATAGTTGGATGGATGCATGGATGGATGGACGGATGGATGAATAAAGATCTAGTTCTGGGGTGTGTGTGTGTGTGTGTGTGTGTGTGTGTGTGTGTGTGTGTGTGTGTGTGTGTGTTCATGAGGAGGCCAGAGGACATCATTGTCTTTGTTGTCAAGGGCTGGCCACCTTTGACAAGGTCACTCACTGACCTGGAACTTGCTAAGTAGGCTTGGCTGACTGGCTAGTGAGCTCTTCTTTCTACCTCCCCTTGTTTTACATAGGTTTTGGGGATTGAGCCCAGGCCCTTGTGTTATCAACTAAACAGTCTTCCTAGCTAGGATTCTGACTTTTCATTAGCACTAATCAGACCAGATGAGGCAAGCAGAGTGGGCATGAGCATATACTTTGTCCATTTTGTTCAAACTTCTGAGGTGGGCTGCATTTGAAATGTCAGACACCCACAGTGGTCAACAAAAGCCTGGCCCTGGCTAAAAGCTTTCCCATGAGCAGCTCTTTCAGTAGCAAATCCTTAGAACAACAGTGCTAAAGAGAGACATCATGCCAGAAGCTTTCATGTCTCAGAGCAATGAGAACAGAAGCCAGAAGTACAACAAAGGCCAGCTTTATCCCTTTCCGACCCGGCAGAGGCCTTCCCAGTGAAGTCACTGCTCACTCCCTTCCAGACACTCTGCTTGCCTCATCTTGAGGAATCATTGTCCTGGGGATCACGGTACTTGCATTAACTTCACACTGTGTAGTTTCAGCTAGATCATTTCCTCTTCTCCTTCCCTCTACCCCTGTCTCCAGGTACATTGAAGGACGTAGATGTCATAGCATCTTCGTGGGCATCCTACCCACTGTTCCTAGAGAACTACTTACCATGTTGTCCTCTGGAGTCTGTCCTCATCCCAGCTCAGGAGGCCAATTCCTATCCATCAAATCCTTCTCCAGAACCATGCACTAAAGGAGGTACTATAACCAAGGACCTGACTGACTGCCAAACTATTACAGCTTATATTACATCTGCTCAGTTGCTTGAGGGAATGTGGCCACTGTACCTCAGCTTCATTGCAGCTTTGAGATATCCCTCTCTTCTTCCTCTTCTTCCTTCTCCTCCCCATCCTCCTACTTCTTCTCCCCCTTTTCTGTGTATGGTGTTTGTGGGCACATATATGATATGCATGTGGAGGTCATGATCAAACTCTGGTATGCCATACCTTTTCTTGTTTTTGAGATAGAGTCTCTCATTGAAACTGGATCTTGCCAATTGGGCTAGGTTGGTGAATAGTGAGCTCCAGAGATCCTCTGTATCCACAGCCCTGCCCCCAGGGCTGGGATTACAAGCATGTATGCCTCCACACTTGGTTTTTTACATGAGCATAGAGAATTGAATTCTGACTCTTTTGCTTACGTAGCTTCATGTCTTTGTGTAATTTGTGGACCAAATTCTCTATTTCTTTGGGGAAGAAAATAGAAATCTGGAAATATTTTTCTGGGGGTTGGAACAGTAGTGAGGTGTGGTTTTCTTAAGGTTCATGTTTTTTGAGGTGCTGGGAATGTCCATTACAAGGGTGTCGCAGGAACCTTCCTTAACGAAGCCCTGGCCTAGGTGCTGGAGATATTTCATATACTAAACAAAAAATTAATTCTGCTTGGAGATTGTTGGTTCAATAACTAACACTGGGTCTCTCTACCTGGTAAAGCTCTTATCTTACTAGATCTTGGCTACTTAGAAAATGACAGTTCAAGGGCTTTCTTTATCAAAGATCACAGAACTAGAAATTGCCAGCACTGAAATTCAAATTCACAATTTCAACTTTTAGATTGTGTGTTTTCGCCTGTTCCATGATACCTTCTCCTGACCCTGGTCATTTTCACAGAGGAGTGAGTAATTGTCATGGAAAGACTGAGTATTTGGTTGGAAACAATGCTGCTGATACCCTCACCATCCATCCCTTTATGTTACATGGGAGTTTGGAATGACTCTCACATTCATTCATGAATGAATCAACTAATTGTGCAAACACTGTATTGGGAACTAGTATGAGTTCAGTACTGAGGTGTGCGCACAATAGAGAACACAGCAGGGAGGAGGCTTGTCCTCACAGATTGCTATCCCATGGATGGAGATGATACTCAGCCAGTGACTAGATATTTAGTTAAAGAAATTGCGGATTTCTCAGGGTGTCTAGGGCAAGAAACATGAAAGAGAAAGCCCCTGGATATTGTTCCTTTGTGTCACAGGGTCCACAAAAGCCTGACAGAAGTGGCAGCATGCCAGCTGAGACACGAAACTGTCAAGTGATGTCAACACGGAGAGTACTCCAGGAGCTCAGAGCTATATAAGAGCAAAGGACCCAAGGTGGTCATTGGCTTGGTGAGGGAGGGGCAGAAGGGTTAGTGTGTCCAAAGGGCACTAACAGCTGGAAGGGACAAGAAGCAGCAGGGCTGGATTGCTCTGATAAGAACACCAAGGAATTAAAATTCTCCTCTGAGAACACAGAGGCGTTACCTATTCCTGCTTTCCAACTGGAATATAGAGCATGCCACGTGTGACACTTAAAACTTCCTGATAGCCGTATTTACATAAAGCAAAAAAGAAACAGATGAGATCTTTATAATGAATTTTATCCAGCATGATATCAGCAAGGGATTGCCATCTCCAGCTGTACTTGCTATATGACCCACTGAGATGTTTCCTGATTTTTTAATTAGTTCATTTCATGTCGATGGGTCTTTTGCTTGCACAATGTGCAGGTGGTGAACCATGTGTATCCAGTCCCCTGAGATGAGTTATGGACAGTAGTGAGCCTCCATGTGGGTGCTGGAAATTAAACCTGGGTCCTTTGGAAGAGCAGCCAGTGCTCTTAACAACTGAGCCATCTCTTCAGCCCCTTCTATTATTTTTTTGTGCTACACCTTTGAAACATCTTATCCTCTTAAAACATCTCCCTAAAGATTAGCAATACTACAAAATTCAGTGGCATCACATGCCTAGGGGCTACCATATTAGACAGAGCAGGGCTTCACTGCAGACTAAACAAACCCATGGCCAGCACATAGAAATTTAGTTGATAACTAACATTTCCCTATTACTACTTGAAGTAATTATGGGGCTGTGAAGTAAGTTACTGACTGGTCTCCTATGGTCTGCTGTGGAGCCTGTACTAAGAGGGACAAGTGATTTTTGCCAATGTTACAAAGGCAGAGAGAAGTAGAAGCAAGATTTCCTGGCTTCACACCAGATATTTTCATGCATCCCCACTGATCACAGCTTACAAGTGCTTTTGTTATTAGGTTATAGCAGTCACAGTCCCCGTTGTCTCCATGTGTGAACATGAATAATGACTTTTATTTGGTTGTGATTTTTAAGAACATCCTGTATTCATTAAAGTGCCTAACACTTAAGGATTAGTAGATATAAATAATCCA